TTTTTTTTTTTTTTTTTTTTTTTTTTTTTTTATATATATATATATAGTAACCTGAAGATGTGGGAAAAGTTTTTGTTTTCTTTGTGTTTATAAACTGGTGCCAAAGCAAAATCTGTAGCCAAACCCATGTAATGTGTATGAATAGTAATACGATAGACAGTTTTCTGTTTTTTTACGGCAGAAAATATGAGTATGTATTTTTGGTACAAGTTTAAATTAATAAAAGCAGCTTTCTTTCTTACAAAAAACAAAGCAAAAAGCGTGCATACACACACACCACATTAGGATTTGTCCATTCAAGTAAATATTTCATTAAAATGTTTTTCAAACCAAAAAGGTGTGGCTTTCCAACTTCTTTTGTTTGTCCAAATGTTTTTGCCTCTTTAATAAAGTCAAGAATTAATTTCATAATGGTGAATTTTCTTTAAAAAACAGATCTATCTAGATGGATCTATTCTGTTTGTAATTTTGCCGATTTTATGATTTTTAAGATGTGCAACAGAGGTTTAACTTTGACATAAAAAATTAAAATTGATGTGACAGTTACAACTACTTGTTGGTCAATATTTATCTTTGATTGAATTGAAATTGATTTTGATTTGATTGATTTGAATTGAAATGTAGTTGTTCCTATCAGGAAGTTTCAAACTTGTTTCAAACAGATATATTGATCCCAGAACAGAAGAAGTAGCATGAGCAAACCACATCTGATTTTTGAGGTTGTCATTAGCGAGTCTTCATATATTTCATTAAAAAGGTCTATCACCTACCGAAAATTAGGCATGTGGCTGAAGAAACCTAATTTTCATTTCCTCAAATGCTCTGAAAGAACAGCCAGAGGTTGTTTTTATCGTTGAGGTTATTGATAAAGAATACTTCAATTTCCTCACTAAGTTCAAAAAATCATTTGACTACTTTGATTCTTCTTAGGTTTCTTATCTGGCAGTGATAAAAAAAAGAATTCCTGGCATTGCCAGATAGTTCTGAAGTAGATGGTTTGCTACAGCATTGAAACTGGATGATATTTACAGTATTTACAAGTTTTAAGTGCAGACAGTTTTAACACTGACCACACCGGGCCTGTTAATGAATTTCTCAGTGGAAAATCTTTGTCTTCTTCATCCCAACTATCTGAACTACTTTACTGATATTTTCTACCAAGTCTGCACTTGTGCCATACTATTGTGACTATCTTCATTAGTAATGCATTAAAGATGTTTTACTGTACTTCAATATTTCAGTTTCTTCAGCTTTTGAAAATAATTCTTCCTTAGTAGAATTTTCCAAGCCACTGTTCACAATTCCCCAGAAACTTCAGAATTATTTCCAACTCCACGAATAATTAAAAGCATTTGACTTCAATCAGAAATATCATTCGATTCATCCACTGCTACTCAATACCACTCATGTCTTTCAATTGTTAGATGAACTGAATGTTGGCTGAATTGATAGACATACTCATTTGCTTTGAACTAAGACATTACCCAAGAAAAGTTGTTCAACAGCTTTCATAATGCAAGTGTTAAATAAATCTGTCAAAGTTTTCCTGCTTTAGCTATTTTGTGAGCAAATTTCAAATTAACTCACACTGTAGCTTGGTGAACATTTGTTGAAAAGTTATTTTTTCTTCAAAGAATCATCTTTATTTGAACACTTCTGTCTTAAACATATTCCTGGAATTTATTTTGAATTTATGTATGTAAAATATCTAAAATTTGAGATTTTTGCTGGGCCAGTCTAAATTGCAGTGGAGGTTGGATCCAGTAGGATGAAAAGCTGTGATATAATGTGTAACCATTACTTTATAAAAGGTCAATTAACATGATTTCATCAATAATTCTATATAATTAATAATTCAAATTTCAAATTTTTAAAATTCAAGTGAAATTGGGATTTTTTTTTCTTCTTCCTCTCTCCAATCAGCTACTTCTGTTTTATTTTATTAAGAAGTAAGCAATGTAAAATTAAATAACATCCTTTTTTAAATCTTGCTAAATTATTATAATGTTACTTGTACTAACAATGAATAAATGTTCAATTTGTAGGTATTCAATCTGGAGGCTGTGGAGAAGTAGCTATTCGTTTAAGACCAGCTCTTATATTTCAAGAACATCATGCTGATATATTCTTGGATCGATTCAGACAAGTTCTTTTGGCAACTAAATAAAGCAGTGAACATCATGAATACAAATGGCATAAGTCTTCAATTTCATTCAATCATTGGGAAATCACTACTGATATAATTTGTACCATATTAATTTTGAAGTTCATTTTTATGTAATTGTGAAGACTTTTTATGGCTTAGATTATGCATTTGTTCAGTATTTGGAATTTTGAAGAGTTTGAAGTATTCACTGAAATTTTATTTTAACAGTGATTTTTATTAGAACATGTCAGGCATCTAGTAACAATTTTAGCGGGTATGGTAAAATTGAAGCATTTATTTGCATTTTTGTGCAGAGTGTTTGTAACCACCAAAGTATTTTTTTAACAATATTAGTTTAAAAATTGTCAATAATATTATTTTATTTTGTTTTAATATTTTTAATAATCTTGTTGAATGTTGGCAATTGATAATAGCAGATTCGTGTTGATGGTATTTTATTCAAGAGGCTAGAATTCATAAATTTTAATGGAATGGTATCATCCATTCAAAGCTTAGTCAACCCACCGTGCTCATTTCTTATGTTAAAATATTGTATAATATTAAGCTTTGTTTTTAAATATATCATTAATATAATGTTATGAATTACATTTGTTTGTGTTTTCTATGTTTGTAATTTACTTTGTCAAATAACGTTTTGTGGTCTATACAATCACAATATAGTATAAACTACCTCTTTTTCTTTTTTGTGAATGCTAGGAATCATAAGCCATTATATTTATTTATATTTGAATTAGTTGCAAACAGAAATATTGCAAGATCAGTGTCATAAGCTATGAATGTCTTCCAATTACCATTTTGTATACAAGTGTCTAAATATTTTTGGAGATAAGTGTATTAATGCTGTATCATGTATGTGCATATGTTGTCATCATCAGAAAAAAAAGATGTCAATGTAAGTAAGGTGTAATTAATAGAAGTTACGTATGAGGAAAGACTAATGAAAACTATATTGAAAATTATGAATCAATGGGAAAATTAATGTATTAGCAAGAGGTGATGGGTCCAGTGGATGTGATGAACACGTCCAGTAGAACCCTTCATAATTGTCACCCAGGACATGGTGGGTACAATAAAAGGTCTTTTAACCAGTAGAACAATAGAAAAAGGAATAAAAATGCAAATAAATGGGTATTTTAAATAAAGTCGTAGGCTTCTACGGCAAGAGTCAATTGCGTGATCTTGGCTGTCCGGGTGACGCGGCGTTGAAGGCTGTTGCCGACGTTTGGACTTCATACCAGCCCTGAGGAAAACAATGACAAGATAGTTGAAATGTCGGCAACAGAACCTTCAATGCAGCGTCACCTGTACAGCCAAGGTCACGCAAATGGGTAATTTGTATATTGATTATGTAGAGTACACAAGGTGTCCAGGAAGGAAACAACAAAACTTAGAAAATAAGCCCTAAAGTCAATTTTTTAGCGTATTTTGTATAATAATAATAATATTTTATTGCTTATGGACTTAAAGATAATATCAAGCAAAGTCTGTCTATAAATTATTTAAAATTATGGTAAGGAAGTTACATTTTTTTAAACTACATCCACTTATTGTAATAATTCAACAATTTAACATGATCTTGATTAATTGTATTTAAAAATATATATAATTGATTAATATAAACAATTAAATTTAAAAATTAATGAACTCCTAGATTTCGATTGTCTGATCCACAATAGTCACTCAAAAGTTGGGTTGAAAAAATACTTTCTATGCAAGAATTTGCATTTCAGAAATATAAACTCCAAAAACTGTAAATTGTTTATTATTACGAAAGATTATATTTGTTCACAAAGAACAATTTACACAGAAAATAAAAAACCCAATTGAATTGTATTTTTTATTAATTGGATACTTTTTTTATTTCTGTGTTAATTGTAATTTGTAAATAATAAACAATTTACATGTTTCTGGAAGGTTCATGTGTTTCTGAAATGCAAATTTTTGCATATAAAATATTTCTTTAAACTGACTGTTCTGTGGTTATTGCAGCTCAGCTGTTTGAATTATCAAAGGAATTTGTTATACATGTGCTTAAAAATGACTCTAGTGCTTATTTTTGAAGTTTTCTTGTTTCCTCTCTGGACCCTGTATATTGATATACTTGTCATAATAAACTATGTCACATACAGTTGTTACTGTTGGTGTGTGTGTGTTTTTTGTTGTTTTTTGGGGAGGGGAGTTTTACATCAATATGCAAGGGTCAGCATCAAGTAGGTATTGAGAATTAGAGAGGGTCATTTGTGAGAGGTTCTGTTTCTTTTTCATTTTGAGCTTTCAAGAAAAACAATTTAAAATACATAGAGACTTTTGTTAAAATGGAAATTGCAATCTCTGGGAAGTATTGATGTCATAAGAAAAAGGAAAACATCAAAAACTTTCAATGGATGTGTTAGAAAATAAAATGTGTGTGACACATATGAGTATTTTTGATCTTGGATTAATGTAAGGGTTAATTTTGTCTTTTTATGTGAAGAGTATGTGATATTGCATAATATTCAGTATTCTTCAATAAAAAAATGTATTTTATGTTAAAAGATCTATTATTATGATACATTTGATTGGTTGTAATTTTCAATATGTGTTCATTATTTCAAATTTATGTTTTTAAAGTAAAGCAACTGTAATAATTTTTCTATTTGGTAACAATTACTGAAAAGAGGAAATATCTTGTAATGTACATAAATTGCCTAAAATGTATTTTAAGAGAGTGAAATGTAATTCTGAAATAATTTATATAGTATTATGTAGTCACAAATAGGTTAATTTTGTGTTATTTGTGTTGTGTTGATATAAATTGCAAAGTTCCTAAAAGTTTGTCCAAATATAACTACTACTTTGCTGTGTGCCATTGAACATGAGGAAATGTTATTCAAAAGAATGATATGTACAAAATTCAGAATAGCACTTCCTATTCATTTATGGTGAAATTTGAGTTGGAATTGAATGGAAAGCTTACTTATTATATATTCTTTTCATTGTTTTGAAAACGTAGTCAGATTATTTGAAGAGGGGAAGAGGAATTCTTAATTTTATTTGCTTCCAGAAACTTAAATAAAGTTATTAACTTGCCACAGGACCAAAGAAAAATATCTGCATACCTGATCATGCAGATGAATATTTCTGCTTGTCTTATGTATTTTGTATGATGATTATTGTTTCCTTAGCCATGACACTGTTTCATGGGTAGTGAAGTTTATGTTTCATGATAATGTATAGGAATAGTTGTTGTTTTTTTCCCCTCTAAAATTGTGTTTAATTTGTGAGATGTTTCCCATTTTCACACTATTCATTATCATGATACCATAAAAAATACAAATCTAATAATTCAATATTTTAAGTTCTTGTACATTCTAGTGCTCTGGCCCAATGGTAGAAGACTGATTAAACTACAAAAATGTAATTCTACGTTTAAAGATATATGATGGAAAAACAGACAACTGATATGTTGATTTTAAAATCAGTCTTCTGTTCTTGTATTTATTTCAAATAGAAAATTTGAATGTTTCTGAAAAATTGTCTGTTTTGAAAAGTGACAGTATTCAATGAGAAATGCAACATGTTTGTTCTAAAAATGTATTTCCTACTGATAATATGTCTTCCATAGTATAAATTTATCCTAGTGCCATGTATATTATTTAAATACTAAAATATTGTAATTTTAGTGACATCATTTTGAAGTTTCATTATGTTAAATCAAGAATTCATGAGTCTGAATTGGTTGAAAATTTAAAGAAATTAATGTAGAAAACACAATTAAATGAAATGAAAAAGGTAACAAATGACTTCTTACTAATACCTTACTCTTTTACGAATTCATATGAGAAGGCACTAGATTGAGAAATTTAATATCCATTTTGTTACATAGAGGAATAAATTAATCCCAAAATCTTATTCTCAATCCTTTTCCTGTATATGTGCAGAGTTGTCATATGTCGTTAAAAAGTGGGATATGTTGTGAATATCGACATGTGATTCGCTGTCCCACCAGATTTTTCTTTGTTTCTGCCAAATGCCCTGAATTTTTGTTCTCTTATTATATTTACACAGTCCAAAAAACAAAAACAAAAAACCTGCATTTTGGGACTACTTGTGAAATACATCACAGATCTATGTGCTACATAAGAGAATGCAAGCAGCTTATTCCTTTGGTAAACAAATATTGTTATTTTTGTTCCTTTTATGGTACAATCTAAGAGCTGAAAATAGATAAATGTTTTTTTGACTCCCTGCAGTATTACATAACTTCCCTATACTACGTATTTTACTCCGTATATACGTACGTAGACAGGAAAGTAACTCGTTGTGCTAAGCAGCACATACTTTCTCGCTTTTAGTTATAGTTACTTAATACTTTTCTTACTGCTTATGTAATACAATTTTTAAATTTAATTATAAAAACGAATGAATGTTTAATAATGTGAAATTTTTGTTTTTCCTTTATATGAAGCCCCTGAGATATTTTCAAAATAAAAAAACAGCTCCAACGTTTTTTATTACATTTTATTATTCGATAGTATGAAAGATATTTACACTAATGGTGCAGGTTTCATTTTCGTTGAAAACCCTATTTTTCGAAAGTTGCAAATATTAAAAACTTTTCAACATTATAATTTCTATCCATCAACGTTTATATTTGTGTTATATCCATCGCTAAACGTGAGTTTCTGTCCAATCATCTAAAAAGCGCGCGAACGTCTGCCTTCGGGATAATGACTTATTTTGCGGAGCGTTTACGTTTATTTTTCGCATTTAAGATCTAATTTCGGGAAGTGTGAAACGTACATTGTACACAAAATACTGAAAATTTATATAAAAAATTATATTATATATAATAACTAATTTTCATGCATGTAAATCATGTCCCAATAAGACGCAGTTCACAAAAACGAACTTCCAAGTCATTGTTGTCGAATCATTGTAGCATTCCAAACTGATATTCCCTGAAAAAGAGCAGTATTTCAAATATGTTTTAAATAATTTCTAAAAGATTAATGTGTAAAAGTCGCATTTAAGAAACGAACACAAGATTTATGAAATATGCAAATTGTAACATACGAAGTACACAAATGTCGGGAATTGCGATTTTAATTTGTGTCTCCAAATTAGCCCAAAAATACTCATATTTTCAAATAAATAACCTTCACCTTATTTGAAGATTTATTTTTGATAAACACATCTTCTCCAGTCATTGCTTTGCACCAACACCACCTAGACATACAGGTTGTAGATAGTGTTGCCTGCACTCCACCGTTGTGTGATATCTTAAACTGGACATTATTGTAATTCTATGAATGATGGCCTAAATAACACAGCTCTTTAAGAATTATTTGTCTTCGGTAAGAATGAACGATGAAAGTCATGATACCGTCTGAGGCCGTCAACTTGATGTACTCATACATCAATACATTGAGAATACAAATTGTGGAATTAAGTAAAGTGCGAGAAAGCAAAAATCACCATCTTCAATTTTGTAGTTTTAATTTTTTTCGTTGCAATTTTTTTTTAAAAAAAGAGCAATATCAGAAAATGAAACTAGCACTATATTCCTTACCGTTTATTAATACATATGTGGAGATTTTTTTTAAACATTTGGAGCGGATTTTCAGAAAATGGTTTTTTATCTCAATCACAAAATGCACGAAATCTACTGGTTTTTTTTTTTCAAAAAAATTGTAAAGCTCTTTTTTTAAAGAGCTAATTTTGTGCAACAGACTGTCGAGGCAACAACCTCTATCTTCAATTTTGTAGTTTTAAAATTCGTTTATTTTCAAAAACCCGAGCGGTACCCGAAAATATGACTAGCGCCATATTTTTTATCGTATGTTATAATATATATGAAGAAAATTTAAAGAAAAAAAATTGAGCGGTTTTTGAGATTTTTTGTAGATTTTAATTGCAATACACGCAAAAACTACTCGTTTTTCAAAAAATTGTTCATGGCATTTTTAGAATAGCTAATTTTGTACATCAGACTTTAAGACAAAAATCTTCATCTCGAATTTTGACATTTTAATTTTTTTCCAATTTTCGAAAAATCGAGAATGTCAACGAAAATAAGACCTGCACCACTCTCTTAAACGTCCTTTGCACTATTGAACAACAAAATTGAATAAAAAAATTTGGAGCAATTTTTTCGAAAATGTCCCAGGGGCTTCAATAAAGTACGACCCAAAATGAAAATTTCGGTTTCAAATTTCAGGGTCCGCGACATCAGCTAGAACCATTTGGGAATATTAATTTTGACGAAAATCGGCAGAACGGTTTATGCGTTATCATTGCGCACAGACGGACGGACAGACGTTTTGCCTGCAATCGATTTTTCGGTATCAAGGACCCACAAAATGGATTCTGGCTACACCACGTGTTAGAGGATTTTGTATTTCCACATTTAGCAACTGCATTTATCCTCTTTTTCCTTACTAGGGTCAGGCAATAAGAGTTTTTGTGTCGAAAATTCGCTGTTTTCCGGCACACGATTACAATAACTCGAGCTACACCTACGAGAACTACACCCAGGGCATTTTTTTTTTTTTTTTTTTTTAGCATTGTAAAAATAATCTTTCTTCGCAAGAAAATCCGTTTCATAATCGGCATTTACGCACAAAATGATGCATTAGGAATTTATGTTCACGAATGATTACTCATCACCACGTTAAGCGAGAATCGGGGGGAGGTAGAGCTAAACGGAACAGCCGACCACCGTTTACTCGCACGATGTCAAACCATTGAGTAGAGATATATCTCTCCTCTATGTGTCAAA